AAACAGGTTCAAAAATGGGTACTAAAACTCAAGAAACAGATTAAGAAAACAGAGGGTGTGTTTCCCCATCACTTACTGTCTGCTGTATTGTTACATGGTAGCATTGTAGCTAATTCTTCTAGGAATCAATTTAAAACAAGAAATAGATAAAAGGAAAACTATACCAGAGTGATCTGAAGGCCCTGTGACATAGATATAGATCTGTATTGTTTTGTTGAGAGAGATGCATCAGTGAGAACACGATTTATATGAATCTAAATGCTAGATTTTATCAAAGCACTGAGTCAGGATGCTACATTATGAGTTCAGAGTCTGTGACATTTGTCTACATCTTTCATGAAGCAGAAATAGGGAAAAAAAATCAAGGGCTGGAATAACTTGCTTCATCCAGGTTGAAGAGCAGTTTTGGTAAATTTTAATTGCATTTCAGAACTCATGTCTTTGTATTTCAGCAAAGAATAAACGGACTCTGTACAGCATGGGGTCTTTGAAGGCCAAGTTTACCTTTGTCCTTCAATCTGTTGAGCAAAGGCAGAAACCTTGGACACTTTGTTCTCTCTTATTCTTTATTCAAGCTGTTGTGGCCTCCACACAAAAGAAAGAGCTGCACAGGGCCAGACTCCCACTTCTTTTACACTGAAGTAAATCCAGTATATTTTCCTTGTATTTAATGGAGTCGCTCTGGATTTCATTGGATTTGCTAACCAGGTCAGAATTCAGTCCGTGGACTGTAAGATTCATTTTATGCTCTGAACAGTTGTGCCTCTTAGGAAGATCTGCTCTAACATAAAAGCATTTTAGGTTACTTGCAGTGATGTTGAGCTGGTAACAAAAGAGTGCTGTCGACATCTGCAAGGAAGACATGAACAGTGATGTTCAGTGTGTAGCAGAATGTGCATGGAAAATAGGAAGCTGTGTCTTAAGTCATCTATGTAAGTGCATTTCCATGGAGAAAGAAATAGGTAAATGGACACGGATTGGATTTGTATTTGTATGTTTCAGAAAGTGATGAATGTTATGATAAGCAGAGAAAAATGTGAATTGTGAAAACTCGATCCTGAACACAGAGACTTTCATACCCAGAAGTATGAACTACAGCAGGTCACAAAGCCTCTCTCTGTTGAGAAAGAGGAACCATGCTTGGTATGGCCTGGCTGGACAAGATCCTGCACCTTTTCATCCCAGCATGTAAGAAATTGTTTATTTCCCAGCTTTCAGCATCCAGGAAGATCTGGCTAAGGTTTCTGAGAAAAAATCATGCAGAATTCAAATTTCTGCAGCAAATAGAACCTGAATCAATAAAAATTTAAGGGATGGAACAAATCCATCAGTTCATTTGAGCTTTTGTTTTCTGGGGTGATAAATCTATGCCTAAAATGGTAGGTTAAGAGAAAGGATTTTTTTCCTTTGTAAAATGAATCTCCGTTTTTCTTAGAATTACAAAAATTAAGTTTATGTTAACAGTCTTGTGGCTTCCAGCATATCTTGATAATGAAGACTGTTAATTCTTACTGTGATGAGTCAACTCGTGCAGATTCATATCACGTACCTAGTATATGTAGAAAATGTAAGTATGTCTTTTAAAATCAGATAAAAATGTTGGTGATATCTTAAAACATTGATCTGAGGAAAATGATGAATTTTGCTGGCTGTATTCCATTAGGACCAGCAGCGAAGTCTTATGTTTAATCACTGTAGTTATTTGTCATATATTACAATGAGTCAGAGATTCTGACTGTCTGCCCACTGAACGCAGATGTTGCCCTGCAGCAGCAGCTTCCATCTGCAATCCATTCAGCAAAAGTTCATGGTACCTCTGTGTTCAAGTGAGCTGCAGGAAAAAGCAGCTGTGCTCACCTGGAAAAGGCAAGAAGAGCAGCAGGAGCAGAAGTGCTGCCAGCTGCCCTTCAAGGAGAGGAGCTGTCATGAGGGCTGCCATGGAAGGGTCAGAGTAGGAGTCCCTCCTGTCACCAGCACAGCTCCTGCTGTGGCAGAAAGGAAGGGCTGGAGCACTGTGGATGTCAGGGGAGGGTTCCTGCTCCCCCGGCCACCAGCAGCTCCCCACCGGCCCCTCTCATGGGTGAGCAGTGCTGCAGCAGCTCCTCTGCCAAGTGTTGCCTTGGGCTCCACGGGGCTCTGCTTTAAAACATCCCACAAAAACTTCAAAGAGGTGTCTTAAGAAAATCAGCCTCCAGAAGGAATATATTTGCACCTCCATAGCAGGAGTTAATAGCATGGAAGTTAATAGCCAAAGGACTTTTTGGGAGCTGATTCTGCCCAAAATTTTAGGTGGGCTCTCCTCTCCAATAGGTAATGGTAAGAGATATTTTGGAGAAAGCCAGGACACACCACTTCTGGCAAGTAGGAGACCTACAGGCTGTATAGATCTGTCCCTGTCACCAGCCAGGCAAAGGTCACCAAAGGGAGCATGTGAATCAGCTTTATGTCCACCCTTTATTCTTTTCCACATTTATTTATTTGAATAAATGAATGAGCAAGTTCATCTGAAGTTTTTCTAGCTGTAGGAAGAAAGAAAAGACTATCCAGCAGTGATGATTCTGTTCTGGTAAAATATGAAGAATGCCTGACAGAAAGAAGTACTTTACCAGGTTACATCAGGTCAGCGCTGAGTTTGTTGTACTTTAATCAGATCAGTCACAGTTGTGTAGGTCTGTGTTTTTAAAGCTTATTTCTCTTGTTTTTATTTACCCAACATTCACTTTTTCAGGGCATTGGAAGCATGGACTATTTCTTACAGCAATTTCAATGTTTACAATGCAGCATCTACAACACAGAGATGATTTCTGGCGAGTGCTGAGCTGTTCACAGCAGTCAGTGGATGACATTGACATTGACAGCTGTCAATCACTTATGGCTTATGCTATTGCCTTGGAATGAATCCCATGTTGTGCCAGGGCCAGAGCTAGTTCCACAGGACAGAAAATACAGTGTTCAAATAAGAAAGTCAAATTTGAGGTGAAATAAGTGCTCCCAGCAGTAGTTCAGGGGTCAGAAAATGTAAAATGGGTGCAGCTGCTGTGTGTGCATTTGAAGAGCCGCAGTCACACGCGCTGCACTTACGGGCTTTGCGTCAGCAGCTCTTTGGCAACAGACCCAGCTCTATCACAGTCAGTTCCAGGAACATACAACTAGTCCTACCTCTGTCTTCTCAGACACTCTTCCCAATCTGTGCCTGCCTGGAAGGCTGTCACATGCCTAAGTTGTGTCTGCCAATCTGAAAATGTACTCGAGATTTTCAACTAGGAAAGAAATTCCAAGGAAGAAGTAGAAGAAGGTGTGAGTGAATAAAGATGTGTTTGTGCAGCTACTATATGTGTGAGCTTTGACTGCATTTGGTTTTGTTATAAGCTTGCAGCATTAGAGGTGTTTTTAAAGCTCATTTTGTTCAGCTATAGTTGAGAGTTTCTGCTAATCCTTGCTGAAGCCTTGGTTTTTGACACAATATTTAATCAGCATGTTACTTCTCAGTGCTACCTGCAGCACACAAAAAGTTTAAATGATTAATCAAGTTATTCAAACAGATTTCAACAGGATTAAGAATTAACAGGAGTTCACCAAAATTTTCCAGCTGAGATGCAGACCAAAGCTTTGATTCTACTCAGGACTGCAAGTTAATGTGTAACGAGACAGGTTATCTCATCAGTCACTTCTTGTGACTTAGGCACAAATGGTGCATAGACAGGTATTTTCATTGCAACAATAGCCACAGATTTCTGTCGGAAAAATGTTTTTCAGGCTCAGTTCCTTAAACATGATGATTATTCATTCACAAACTTCTTTAAAGAGAGAAGCATCTGAAAAGCAGTAACTGGCAATACTGTGTTTATCTCATTTTAAAATTCCCCTTGGGCCGGGACTGATAGTCCAAGGGTACCCACTGGTGTGGTAGGTGGGGTTTTGCATCCCCCCAGATGCCAGTGAAATTCAGCTCTGGATCTGAACCTTCCAGCTCAGGCCATTGCCTGGTGACACAGAACACTCACTGTTTTATGCTGGCAGGTAGAGTGTACAAGAAGTCCAGGCTTTTGATTTGAAGTACAGTTCTGGACAGAGAAGTAACTGAAAAAAGATATCTTTTAGGTATCTTTTACTCAATTGACATGCTCTCTCCATGTCCTTCAGGCATTTCTGCCGATCTTTCTGATTCAGTAGTTACTACTGTTAGTGCTACAAAATCAGTAACAGTGGTGTAAAGACTTGGATTCTCTCCTGCAATGTGTGTTATCAGCAAAAGTCTTTGCTGTTTTGTAGTGCAGACTTTGAATAATTGGATGATGTACCACACGGGAGAGTAAAGCAGCTTGAGTTTTCCAGCTAAAGAGACATTTTTGGTCTCAAAATCAGAAAAAAAGAAATTACTAGAGTCTAATCCACAGTCTACTAAAGTCTAAACCAAGCCTATCTGACCAGAATGACTGAGTAAATCTGAAACCCCTCCATGTAATTTTAACATCAGGTCTTAAAGGCCCACTTAAGCAAGACAGGCAAACACTGGCTTCTGGCATGCTTTTGTAGGCATTATGTTGCCATTTTTCCTTGACTCATGTTTGTTCCTCATTTAATGTTGCAGTGATGACTTCCAAATTGATAAATAAATAAAATCACAAATGACATGCTCTTAGGGCTGAGCAATGGAGCATTAAGGTCATAGAAAGAGTGGAGCATGCAATTCTAAAAGATTTTTCTGTGGGATGTGCTGATGATTCTTTAAAACCAATTACTGGAAAAATTATAGGTTGCAAAGCAATAAATCTCATCTTCAAGTGGGGTTTTAATTTTGAGAAAAGAACAATGTAAAAATGCCACCTTTGTTCTCAACAGCCCTTTTCTTTTAATGTTTCAGTTCAGAGATGTCTTACATGAAGACACAGCCTCGTAATGATAGCTATATATCCCCCAGACAACAGTAGATAAGAGAGATAATTTTTCTTCTTCCTTAGGTATTATTCGTTAATAAGTTGCCATCTTATTTCTTCTAGGCACCAGTAACAGATGTGCAGTTTGGCCCTATGAGACTTCATCAAGATCAACTTCAGGTAACACAGCAGTTCAAACTGAAGTCTTGATTTCTAAAATATCACAAATGTTAGCTTAAAATTTATGACTGGAATTTTTTTGATTATAGAAATCTTCACAAAGTATTTTGCTCAAGAGATAACGTGCACATAACAGATTTTTATCATGACATTCTATCTATGTGATATCCTAAAAACCCTGCCTGTTTTCTCCAACCATATCTCAGCTCATAAAAATGGAGCTGTTTTTTTCTGCTATCAGTTACCTTGTAATTAATTTAGTTTGTGCCTCGTTTTTTATTTTATGGTAGCCAAATTCTTAACCAAAACCTCATCAAACTGATACCAAGCCAACCAAAGTTGCAACATTATTACAAAATATATGAAGTGATCTTGGCAAAATATATATTTTTTTATTATTCATCTTTGACTGATAATAATTAATCCTTTTTTATCCCTTCATTAATAAAGACTTTATGTTGTTTGTCCCCTTACTTTGCTGGGGATGGACATGAGGTTTGGAGATATATGATTGCTTTGGACTTCCTTTGGAAATTCTCCTATATCCCAAGGCATACTGAACAATTAATCATCCAAGATGTTCCTCAGTCAGTAATTGCAAAACTCCTCAGTAGAGGCAATGTGGACCTAAAAAATGTCTTAAGAACTGCAGTTTAACATCTTCTTGAGCAGAGTCAGAACAGTAATATCATCAAAAATCAGATCTTAGGACATGCTCATTGAGCTGTTCCCCAAAATCAGAATAGTCCTTGAGTATTTCTACCACCTGTATTGTTTTTAATGATTGTATCACTTCTGTCCAGTCATAGACCACTCTGAAATGCTACTGATTCATCCTGGTAATATAGCTGGCAGGTGTGAGGGAAGGAGAAGGTAGGAAACATCACATTTTTGCCAGAGTCAATCATACTACTCAGATCTGCTGACTTTCTGTGCCATTGCTGAGACCCATTCTTCCCCTCTTAAGGAGTGTATAGATTAACTTCACTAAACATGGCCCAAACTATGACATGTTTTTGCAAACAGTTTTGCAGGCTGCTATTGAAAGGAACCTGAACTGAATGTGTGCAAAATCCTTCATTCTTACAAAAACATGCAGTACATGGAAATGTTAAGATTTACTGTTAGACATTTCACCAGCCTGGTCCAAAGTGTAACAGCACTGGAATTCCTAAAATCACACAGAAGATAAACAGCAGTGGGATGTGATGTGAGTTACACATGTTTCCCTTTGCCTGATCAAAACATATCTGAGTTTGGTTTGATTCAACCATAGTGAAATATTGGTGTCTTGGGACAATAGACCAAATGCTGGCTTAATTACCCATCTTTCCCAAAAGGCTACATGTGCTGAGTCATCCCCAAAATCAACACAACATAGATCTACAGTCTGCCATGCTGCATTCTTTCAGGCAAGAGAAGTTTTCTTCTGCAAAGCATTATCCTGATGCAAAGCACAATCATATCAGTGAGTCTTCCTTAACAGACTTTGTTCATCTTCTGTACTGTATTAAATCTGAGAATTGGAAATACATTTTAAAGGAACTGGGCCTTATCATACTTTAGTCTATAGGCATTGTGTTGATTTTAAAAAGGCTTAGAGAGATTAGTTACTAGCAATTACATGGCAAGTTAGGACAGAGCAAATAGTGGCTCACAGGTCTGACCTCCAGTTCTGGATTTCAGCTATGATAATCTCCTTCTGTGATATAAATCCCATGGCAGGCTTTGTGTAGGAGTCATACGGGGACATACTCCATATACAGTGGCACTGCTTATGATTTCAGTCTGGCATGAGCTCCTTTTGACCAGCCTGCTCAGAATTTCCAGAATCCCCACAGAGTGGGCAGTACTTTGGGGAATTAGGATGAGATAGAAAGGAAAGCAGACTTTTTGTCATGCCATTGAAGCAGCATTAAATACTGATTCACACGAGATGAGCCATGGGTTTTTTTGGTTTTTTCCCCTCCTTTTCTGGAATATGATCCTGGCAAGAAAAAAAAACCCCAAGAAAAAAGTTGCATGTGAGACAGGTTGCAGAGAAGTGCACTTACTGTTGGTCATGTACACTGTCTGAAACACAAGCATCTTGTCTCAGCTGGTTGCCTAAGCCTCTCTTTGTAGATAATGATAAGAGAGTTCCAAAACTTGTTCTTCCCATGTGGATTACATGGCTTTGGCAGACTGTTTCACCCACTTGAAACACCACTGTAGACAGACAGCTATAAAAAAACCCAGTCATCTATAGAAAGCAATTCTTTTAAAAACAATGGATTAAACCTCAACAATGGCTCTAACATGTTAAGAACAGGGAAAAGTCACAGTGTCAACTGTAAGATCTGTTTGTGATGATCCACTGCCTGTCTTCACCTCAGGTACTTTTAGTGTTTGCTGAGGAAGACGAGCAGAGTAACGGGTTCCGCTGGGCGTGTGACAAGGCTGGATTTCGATGTAATATTGCCAGGACACCTCAGTCTGCACTAGAATGTTTTCTAGATAAGCACCATGACATTATCATTATTGACCATAGACATTCCAGATACTTCGATGCAGAAGCATTATGCAGGTAAGCACCGTTTCAGTGTAATTAATACTTAACAATGTAGTTAACACTTCATCAAAGTTCTTTCGCTTTTATGTGACATTTCTATAAACTCAATGCAGCATTTTTTGGTTTTAGACAGCATCAAATACTGTTACTTCAGTGCTTTACATCTGATAGCTGCAGCATTTTTGGTTGTGTCTTAGGGTCTCTGAAGCTCCATCTGGCTTGAAGCCACAGTATACAAATTTGTTGCCATGGTGAACTGTTGGATATTTTTTTGATTTTCTTTTGGTGTTTGATTGTTTGGAGTTTTTTTTAAAATACCTGGTTCCTTGTTTGCACACTAAATCAACTGCAAAGATAGCATGTGCCACCAAGCACCTTAATTAATTAATTTGCTTTATTAATATTCTATTTTTTTTTGCAATGTCACTTCCTGTTGAATAACTCCCAATGCAAACAGGCAGTGTTTGGTGTGCATGTTTCCATATCTACAACATTTAAAGATATGTTGTGAAGAGCAAAATTGCAAACAGATTCCAAAAATAATTTTAGAAACTTCTGTAAAGTATGAAAAAAGGAAGGATTTGCCTTTGTGAGTCTCTTCACAGAGACTAGACAGGCAGCAGTGCCTTGCTCCAGTGCCTTTGCAGTGAAATTGCCCTTGGGAATGTGTCTAGACTGAATAAGGGTCGGAGTGTGTGCCTGGGGGACTGTTGTGGGGCAAAGGCTCTTCTTGCTGAACTGGGGGAAGTAGATAAGATCTTTGTCAGGCCAAGATTAGGTAGTAGTGCTGTTCCCTTTGTTCCATTTTTACCAATCTGTCCCAGAATTCAGTAAAATGCACCTTAAATGAGTGAGGCCAAGCCCTTCAAACAAGTCCATTATATGCTGTTTCAGAGAGAATATTTTTTGCTATTCCCCCACTGAGAGTATTTGAGTTGCAGATTAATCTATGCTCATGGAGTCTCAGATATAATTTATTCTCCTTTCTTAGCAGCAGGCTTGGGATTTGACTTTTGTTTTGTTGTTAAATGATTTAAAAGAGATATTTTAAGAAAAGTGCTGTCTGTAGGTTCTGTAAAGTTATGTTTTCTGAAATGTGAACTTAAAGATAATGTAAATGGTTTGCTTTTTATTTAAAGGTCTATCAGAACAACAAAAGCCTCAGAAAATACAGTCATTATTTGTGTAGTACAAAGGTAAATTCTCATTTCTTTACTTTCACCCATGATCAAAACTGTAAATCTTACCATTATAAAAGTAAACATACATTAAAAAACCTGAATTAGAAGTTCCTACTGTGCTAATAATAATGTGCTGTACTGTGAGTTAACAGAGCTTTTGCTATCCTTGACCATAGAATTGGGACAGGAAATGTTTTTTTGTTAGTACAGCCAAATTATTCAAATACTTGATTTGGGAATGTGTCCCAAATGTGACTTACTAGAAGGCAGTGGGTAGGCAACACTAGAAAATACATCTTTATTCAGGTACCTCGAATTGCCCATCTAAGATCTGCTACATTCAGATAACAAGTAATTTCTTCAAACTTTGGCTGTGCAGACTTTCAGGTGCATTTCTGACTAATGCCAGTGTAAAACAACAAGGATCCAGTACAGAGTAAGTCCAGTGATCTAGCTCATTAATTGATTTCCTTGAAGCATTAGAGTTTTATTGATGTAAGCAGCTCATTACATGCATGAAGGAAATTAACATTTTGGCTTATCCATGCCAAAGATGAAAGCTTATAAAAAACCCCCAAAAAATGTTTTATTCCTATATCCTGTAAGGAACTAGCAGTATTAGCCTCAGTGTAACATTTGGGGTACAAGTAGATGAATGGATTGTGAAATTTGTTCTGAGTTAATTACACAAGTAATCTCTGATTTTTCCTCCTTGTTTCAAAGGCACACTGATCGTGAAGAGTCATCAATATTGCCCCTGATCTCTGCTGGCTTCACAAGGGTATGTGCTATACTTGGCTGGCTTGCTCTTTCATTTCAAGATTGTCATGCAAGGAGCTCTCCAGAAGTTTGGCTGTCTGTCACCATTTGTGTCAGTGATCCAGCCTGCAGATCTTCTTTGTGCTGCTCATTCTTCTATGTCCCAATTCCGAATATTGACATGACACTCTCTGGGATATAAGAACTGGGTCTGAGACTTCTCTACTTCATATGTTTATTTCAGATTAAATACATGATCCTTTCCTTGAAAAGTTGACATTGACAAATTGATTAGTGGCTGTGGCAGAGCCAGGGAGCAGCTTGCAATGAACAACAGAATGTGCTGTTGGAAATTTCTTCTATCAAATGCCAATTCCCATTGTAAACAGGCTTCACACACTGTCAAGTGCTATTAGCTATTGTTTGGAGGCACCTGAGAAGCAGTGCATTGAATCTGTTTCTTGGCAACTATTCCAGCTGAGCAGAAAAGGTGCTTATTAGTGCATCAGTTAAGTGTACCCACCTTACTGCCTTCAGCTGACAATGGAACAAGAATGGGCCTGATTTACAGCGCGATTCCAAATATTTGGTTGCGTGCTCACCGGATTTTTGCTGTCCCATCACATTCCATTTGCACCCATCTTCTTATTTCTAGTGAAGGCCCAATCCAGGAAAGCTACTGCCTGAAGATAATGGCATTTATATGAACAGAGTCTTTCCAGTGGGCACATAAGTAATTCGACACAGGTTCTGAATTATTTATGGATCAGAGTCTTGGAGATGGGGCTAATGGCAAAGCATAGAAAAATTTGTTTAGCAGCTTTGAGTGTGGTGGTTTACCTGTGATAATCAATCCTCCTGCCCAAACTGTCCATGTCTGTGAGAGTTTAGTGTGAACAAAGATTTAACATTCAGGCTCATACATTGTAAATATCAAATGTTTTTTAAAAAGTGAAAGATACTGAGATCATTGCTATAAAAGCCCCAAGGTCAACAAGGGTATATTTCACAGGAAATTTTATTTTCATCTATATAGACAATTTGGCATATTAGCAGTTGGAAACTCATAATAATTTAAAATTTTAACTACTTGAGACCAAACAATTTTTTTCACTGTTATTTTTAATAAGTATCATGAAAGCTGAAAGTAAATTTTTTAAAAATACATTGATCCTGCTGACAATCACAGAGAATAAACAGGTTGGTTGAACCTCATTGCCATGAGGATCTGTCACCTTTTCAAAATGCAGTAACTTTTGTTTTGCTAGAAAAAATAATCTTCTCTCATTGCTCGTGTCTCAGCTTGTTCATTTTTGGCATATCTACTCCTTTCCTGGTTCTTTAGCAAGCAAAAGAAATCAGAGCTTCAAATCCTTGCAGATGGGAATGTGTATTAATGAAATATTTCTAACCTTTTCTCTGCAGAGATATGTAGAAAATTCTAGTAGAATGGCCTGTTACAATGAATTGATTCAGCTGGAATTTGGACAGGTGCAGGCACAATTCAAACTAAGGTAATTTTACCAAAAAGTATTATCAACAAAGAGTTTCCAATTTAGCCAGATCCTTAATAAAGTATTTATTTTAATGTGCAGTACTTAATTATAGAATGTCAGTTACCTGAAGTAAATACATTAATTGTTAAACTACAACATTATTCAGTATGGAGTTGTAATACTTTATCATGTATAAGAAGAATTAAGTGGATAACATTTTTTGGATGCCTTTTTCTTTTTCCTCCAGGGCATGTAATTCATTATTTACAGCATTAGAGAAAAGTCAAGAAGCCATTGAGATCACAAGTGAAGACCATGTAATACAGGTTTGTTCCAGTCATAAGAAAATTGCTCTGTATTTTAGTTCATCTATGATTACACTTACTCTTTCTTACAGTACAAAAATCTAATCCAACTTAATGGTTCTAAAAAATTGAAGTGAGTTTAACTGAGTAGAGTAGAATTTGCTCTATTTAAAGTGTCTGGCATAAATCAAATAAATTTTAAGGGAGATTGTTGTTTCTGAATGAATAAAGATTTATTCTCTTGTTTATTTTTTATATTGATTCTTTATCTCTATTATTCATTCCTTCTCTATATCAAGAATGAATGTGGTCACTGGCTTTTGTGCACCCTTTTCCAAAAATACTGTGTGTTAATATGATGCTCTTTAAAATCTAATGGATGTTCTGTTCAAATAATTATACTTTATTTTTCTAAAATCTGATACTGTTTGATGTATCAGAGTTTTTGGGTCAACTGTTTTTGAATGTAATCCTCTCTTAGAAATTTCTTTAAAACATGGAAAAGAAATTGTGCTTAGTTTTGCAGTTCTGAAAACCATCATCTTTTTAATGGAGTTAGTTCCATCCCTAGCTATGAAGCAGTGATGAATGATTTTATTATCAGTAAAGAGCTTGAGTCTAAGCCTCTGGGAATTATAACATGCATACAAATTCTACCTGCTTGAGCCAAATTTGACAATGGCAATTTCATTGAAGGATGTGCCTTCTTCATCCCTTTTACAAAAATAACAGAACACATCCTGAAGTTGTTTTAAACACACTCTTTTGAGACCAAATTTTGTGCCTCTGCTGACAGCCCTAGAGTAGGAGAGAGTGTACGCTTGCAGAAGTCCTGGAGCTCCAGCAGGCACAGCTTTTGCACAGGGAGAGGAAGGAAGGTGTTCCTTTGGGAAGGAGCTTTGAGTGGAGAACCATTAGAAATACAGTGGCACCTTTTCCTTTCTCTCATACTAAAACATTGTGAGTTGTAAAGGCATTCAGATGCTGCTTTGGCAGGACTATGCCTGTCACTCAGCAAGTGAGAGGGCTGTAAATAAAAATAAACTCTTCAGCTTTATTGGGCAAGGGCCAAAAACTGCAGAGAAATGCAACATTCACTTCAGGGAGAAGCCTGCTTTGTTAAATCCCACTTCTTCCACTCTGCTTGGCTGGGCTTTGCCTGGACAGGAGAACAGTGATGGTTAGCCCTTACACAGAATAAGATGATGAATTTGCCAATAGATATGGATAATATTCCTATGGTATTTCACCATCCAGCCTGTGATTTTTAGGAACACTGAGGTAGGTTTGAGGTTTATTGGTTTGGGAACTGACAGAGCCCATTTTTCAGGAATTATTTTGTCTGTCTAAACTCTGGATATGTGATACTCAGATGTTCACATAATTTCCCTCTCTTTGCTGACATGTGCTCACTCTGCACAACTATTGAATGGAATGGAAATTCCTGCTTTGCTTCACAGAGTAGAATATGTGAGCATCTCTCTCAGAAATAGTACATGCAGACATTCATTTCAGGGTAGGAAAGAGATGTGGTTAAGCAAACAAAACAAGGGATTCTGTTGTGCTTTAAGTACATTTTTGAATTGGTATTCAATATATATTCAATATATTGTTTTGTTTCTTTTATTTCACAGTACGTCAATCCTGCTTTTGAAACAATGATGGGCTATCAAATAGGTGAACTAATAGAAAAGGAACTAACAGAAGTGCCTATAAATGAAAAAAAAGCTGATTTCTTAGATACTATTAATTCCTGCATAAAGATAGGAAAGGTGAGTAATAGCATTGTATTATTTGCTATCTCTAAAAGTTACTTTAGTCCAGCAGTGATTCACGTTGTGACTTGCAGCTTCACAGATGCATAGCATTTGCAACTTACTTAAAACAAGAACAGGAAGTGAAAAATTGTTCATTTTTTAAGGGTTTCTTTCTCTTTTCTTGCTTGGTAGAGGTACTTGTTTTACAAAAATAAGTGACTTGCTGCATTTCTTTATAACTTATGCTGTTCGTAGCAAATGGTGTGGGAGTACCGAAGAAAAATGAGATGGATGCACATGTTATCTGGTGCTATGTAAATGAGAAAAGTACCATATTGAAGAATTTCACCATGAAATGTGGAAGCTGATTTGCAAGTTCAGAATGTAAAAATACCAAGGAGACATTTGCAATATCACTTGAAAGTGATAGGCAGTGTGAGCTGCCAGCGGCCAATCTGTTTAATTCCCTAATGGCATGGGAGCTGTCTAATGATTTCCATTAGAAATGTTCATTGCACCGAGATGAGCTGGTTTCTGATATCACTGAACATGACATGGGGCCTCGTAGGGAGAAGATCATGGAGGCTGCACAGAGAGATTTGGGAATGTGTGTGTTTGGTGGTGCTCCACGGCCCAGGCTCAGGACCGTCCGTGCGAAGCGGCACAGCACTGGCACAGAGCAGGGAGATGCCAAAGTGAGTCATGGCACTCTGGGTCTAGACAGGGGTACAAAAGCACAGATTCAAAGTTGTGGTGAGTCATGTTCTGTAGGTCAGGGTGCTGACACAGCACTCAGTGGCAAAAGCTGGGTGCAGATGCCATCTGCATCTCAAGGAGATTGTGTCACTCATTTCCAGGTGTGTTGGCTTGTTGGAAGAGATCCCAGAGACCAACACTAGTTTGGATTATGGTGCTTCACACCTCTGTTGCCTGACTGAAATTATTTCAGTAAATGTGTGCAATACAAACCTGAAGTTAGGAGGGAGTATTTATTAAATTAAAATTAAAATGCATTAGATATGTCAGGCATTAAATCCACACCATCAATTCTCAAGATATGAAGTGATAAAATTTTTAATATTTTATTGAGCTGATAAAAATTTCATTAATAATGGAAAGATATTTTACTCTATGAATGATATAAATCTAAATCTAATGAATCTCTTTCCTTGTACTAATTTTACTCCTGACTGTGTGGCTTCAACAGTGAGGGCTAATGAAATATTGCCTACTTAAATCTGTCTGTCTGGAACAGCTTAAGCTGTTTTAGGTGGATATATTCTGTTTGCAGGTGTTCTGTGTTTCTCTCTGGAACATTTTATATGTGATCTATGCAACCTTACATTTATATATTAATATAAAGATGAATCGCCAATTAAATTATTACAGGAATCATTTGCAAGTAGAGGTTAACTGTGAGGAACAACCTTTGAGATACTTGAAGTTTTGAAATCATTTGTGCCAAGATATTACAGCATTTTCAGAGGTGCCTGAGTTACCTGGATCATTCTGACATGGTCTGTGTGTAGTTTTCAGGCTTGTGGTTTCTTTATATCTTACATTTAAAAGACTGCTTCTCACTACAATAGGTCATATTTTGGCTACTGTAGGTTACAGCATATCAAAAAAAAGGAAACTGCTGCTGTAATAATCTCCTGTCAACAGGTTTGACTTTTCTGTTTTGAGCAAATGTGGTACTACACTAACATTGTAATAAAAATAATAGAAAGCAAGTTTTTCTGATATTTTGAAAAATCTAAGCTGCATGAAATTTATCTTGTCTTTAAATGGAATTTAGGAAGATGGACTCTTGCAGCATTTCACCTCTTATGCTGACAGGCATAGTGTTGTGAGCAAGTTCAGTATATTCAAACAAGTTCATAGGTGTTACACTCAAAAATTGGAAATTCCAAGGTACATAGGGATTCTTGGGCCAGGATGTTGTTCCTCTTAGCAAAAACATATCTCTGGAAGTTCATTTTTTGCTACTACAGCTGGCTGTAATTTGCCAGAAGCCAAAGTTATTAAAATGTTCATCTGTCCATACTTGAGGAGTTAAAAGAGTTGTGCTTTTCTTCATTCTTCTGTTTCATGATTCAAATTGCATCCATTAAGATGAAATGTGCAATTCTGACTAGAATTCTTGATGCCTCTGATCTCTGCTGTTTGCTCTTAGTTTTGCTTTTTCTGAAGTGAGATGAACAGCTAAGGATAAAGCTGACGAGACACGCAATTCCTCTCTCTTTGGGAACTGTTTGCAAGGTCTTTCCAGAGGGGGTGGGAGAGCAATCACACTCTGATTAAGATCTGTGAAAGGCAGCACCTTCCTAGCTCAGCCTTCAGTTCTGTGAGATTGTGCTCATGACGCCTTGTGTTTATTTTGGTTTGTTCTGCAGCCTAAAAGGAAGGCTGAACTGGGGGGTTCCTTACTGTGCCTGTGAGAGTGCTCAGTGGATAGATGTGTGCCTTGGCCTTCTTCATGGGGTTTGAAACCTCAGCATTGCTTCACTCTGTAAGGAGTGAGACTGTGGGGTTTGCTGTGTGTGGTGTTTGCTGACAGCACGTCTTGGGAATAGCTCTTCTCTGTTGGACTGCTGACAGAGGCTCTGGGAGAGAGCATATGGTGTTCTTAAAATACGTTTAAGTGACATCCTTGGGAGAACTTCACCTACCAGCAGGAGTTTGGCTTGGGCCTCCTGTTTCTCAGAATTGCACTGACCTTTTCCCACACACGTTTCCTGCCACAGATTCACAGGTTTTAGAAATTCACAAGTTGAAAAATCAATCTGTTGACTAAGAAGAACACATTAGTGAATAACCTGCCCTGAAAAGGATTTGCTTTCAATGAGGGAATTATCCAATCTGTAGTTTATGACTTCACCCTTTTGTGCACATCCTGGGTTTATTACCTGGGTTAGAGATCAATTACTCATCTCTACCTCATCCTGGTTGTCAGGAAACTATTGATGTGCATACTTTTAATTATGAGAGCATTGACTTTTGTGGTGCTTGCTTTATCTTCATCTGTATTCCTCAAGCAGCTCAGAGAAGACATTATGCTCACTACACAGTTTGTTATGCAGTTTTCTTCTCTGACAGATCCTCAAAAAAGCCTTTCATATTTTTTTCTATACAGCCTGTCACCCTGCAGTTCTCTGTGGGCTGGAGTCTTTATTTGCTGTCTCCATCAACATAAATGTAAAACAATTCTCTGTACCTGTGTTCTGGCCTGCTTGACTGTGGAATCTGTCAGTCTCACATAAATAAATACATATTGTGTGCCTCATGAGGGTATTTTCACATAAATAAGATCTGATCTACAGTTTGTTGAACTCAACTGAAATACAGCAATTGGCCCAAGCAATTTGTGTTAAGTGAACATGCAAGATGGATTCAATTATTCATTAATCACTTCGTATTTAGTAAATGCCCAGCTCAAAATATGCATCTGTTAAAAAAACACCACCAAGAGCTATTCTAGAGATGGAAACACAAAGGCAATCCTAAAGCCAGAGTGCTTCTAGAGGGGAGGCAGAATCCAGAAGCTATTCTACTGGGCTCTCTTCTGCTTTAAAAGAAACAGAATAAATCTCTGCTGCATTTGATAGGAAACTGACAGGATGGAAAGTAAACATGCTGGGATACCAAAGCCCTTTAAATCACAGATACATTTAATGTTAACCAGTGATAAGACATCCCAGCCATGCAGGAGAGATGGTGTATCCAGCAGGGAGGGTGATCAGGGCGGTGTCACAGCTTTGCAGTGACCTTCCTGTCCTGGGTCCCTGGGGGTCCCACACCTGCAGCCCTGGGGGGAGACTGCCCCAGGCAGAGGCTGCTCTGAGCTCCTGCTCTCACAGGGCTCTTTGCCAGCTCTCCCCAAAATGACCTGCAGTACCACCGAGGTAGGATGGGGAAGAGAATGTAGCTAATTCCCACAGCTCCTGAAGTCCAGCTGTTGCCATCAGAGTATTCCCAGGCTGCTTCTCTGGGAGTTGTCCATGCATTGGCAGCAACACAGTGACCTACAGGTTACTTACAGGGGAGAAAGTTGAGGGTTTGAGCACAGTTTAACCAGTCCTGCCTGGTTTTGTATTGTGAGATAGCTTTCAGTGAAAGAAAAGTATGAAGCTACAGCTTCTCTTTATGTTTTATCTGAACTTCCTTCCACATGAATTATTTTTTCAGGAATGGCAAGGAATGTACTATGCGAAAAAGAAAAATGGAGATAGCATACAACAAAATGTGAAGATACTACCTGTCATTGGACAGGGAGGGTAAGTGTGAAAGCTAAAGTCATAATTTGTGTCTGAATGAAGACTCAGTTTAGAGTTCAGTTGCCTTCAGCAAATATTGGATTATCCTGCTACTGATTATAATGGAAGCTTATGCAAGGAAGGGTGCCTCTGACCTCTGTGCTTAATTCCTTGGGGCAAAATCAACTTCATATGCTGTGTGCAGGGAAAGTGAAATTCTCCTAATTCTCCCTGAAAAGGATCTAAAGATGCAGATGTGCTCACTTGTGACTGACTCTTCTAATTCTCCCTGAAGTGCAAGTGCACCCTCCTGTCCTTCTGTGCTTCATGTTGGTGACCTACATCCTGTTTCACTGAGCACCTGTACTGTGTCCTTCCACACTCAATTTTCTGTGCTCCTTCTTTCATGGCTGTTCCCAAGGGTTGTCATGGGATGAGGTCACTGTGTGCTTTGATCATGGGCAAGATTCAAGCAGATCTAGATTTTTATGCAGCTTCCACTTGGTCCCCAAACTGAGCCTTTGGAGCAGCCAAGTATCAGCACTGAGTTAGAGCTGAGGTTTGGATGGGAATTAACACACTGTTTTTTGCCTGCAGAAAGATTAGACACTATGTGTCAATTAGTAGACTGTGCAATGACAACAATAAGGTAAGTGAAAACAGTGCTATGCTCACTTTAGTTTGAGCCCTAAGTATAACAAAATAATGGCAAAGTTCTGACTAACTGGATTTCTTCTACTGAATTGTAGGTGGAGAAGACATGTGAATGTATTCAGGCTGAATCTCAGACAGGTACGACACGTCTCTTCTGTCCCAAGAAGTGGAGAACATACCTGGGGAGAGAATAAAGGCCATTGTTAGTACTTTGACTGAAAACACAGTTTCACAAAACATTTCTATTTACCTAGTGATAAGCTGGAAATCCAACTCAAAAGGCAGGAAAGTAAATGCAAGCCCCCTCTCTACCTGCCTCACTTATTTTAGAGGTGACATAAAGCAACCCACCTTTGAAAACGCTGTCACAGGGCCCCAAGTTGGTATCATGGTATTGCTGGATTTAGTGCCACAGTTCAGTTGTAGGTGGTGGATTCCTGTGACAGAATTAGAAATGAGAAGGATGCTGTCATGTCATGTGTTGCTGTGGCTGCTCCATAGCACATGGCACCTGTGTCTGCACTGCTTTGTGCTGCATTGTGAGGAATTTGCATGTGGGTGGAAATGAGGATGACCAACACTATCATTCACCCTCATCTCACATATCAGCACTTCAGTTAGGACATCCTTGGCATCCATGCTGCAGGTACTTGTTAACTGTAGTCTCAACACAGGCTGAACGTGGGAGTCCATAGGAAACCAGGGATATGCTGCCCCATTTGCTGGCATGTGCTCTGCTTTGCCCCACCAGTTTCTGGTGGCAGTGGTTACTTGAGTGAACTCAGGTGTGCTGCACAAGTTATGTTTACAACTGCAATTGTGCCACAGTGGCAAGAGAGGAGCTTTTCTCTCCACATGGTTTCCTTCTGCACAGACATGTAGGCATGTTCTGCCTGAGAACCTGACTGGGTTCAGGACACTGTAACAAGGCAAAAGCTTTAAAAGGCACTTTGATCAGCTCTCATCTGCTGAAGCATTGAGGTCAATGCCACTCAGCTGCTGCCAGGCTTTTCTGAGCTTCAGTTCCTTTAACATACATCTTAGGCAAAACTGTTGTCATTATGCAATATCATTTTCTTCACAGATACTCAGACTTGCAGACACAAAGACATGAGGAAAGGATCTCTGGATGTCAGATCCACAACATCACGTGGGAGTGATGGTATGTGAAACAACTCATCGTGTTGGGTCTGGCTGAGTTGGAGTTGTCATGCAAACCCAATACACAAATTATTACATTTCTTACCTCTTCCCTTGATAAAGATATGAAGATATTTATTTCTTAATTTTGTTTTCTTTCTCTGTGTTGTATTTTACTCTGTTAGATCACCCCAAACTTGATAGATGAGTAACATACTCAAAACTGTTGCTGACACTTACATGCTTTTGTTAAATCACAATCTAGGCAGCATACACTAGTGAAGCATGTCTATGGCAGTGAGAATACTCTCATGTTCCAGTATAGCAAAAATAGCATTGACTCTTCTTCTTAAGAACTGCTCAGCACAATGAGTAACAGAGATGTGTCTGCATTTTATAGGTAGCACAATATCCAGAAAAATCTCATCTTGACCTTTTCTCTGCAGGATCAGAATTGCTAACCAATATAAAACATTTGTTTTTAAATTTCCAATGAATAATAGGCCAGAACCTCTGCTGTTTTTATTTGGCACAGGTACCCACTTCAAAAGAGCTTCAGTGATTTACCTCAGGAAGCTGACTCATTATGACTTGTCATACTGCATCAGGCAGCAAGAGTAGATAGATCCTGCAATAATCTAAATTCAGTGGTTACCTACCTGTGCCTGCCAGTTTGCCAGTACACAAACATCTCTATAGTCTTTTAACTGAGTCTTTAACTGAATATTTTAATTAGTTAAAATAACAAAGCAAAGCCATGATTTTGCCAGGCTGTTACAGCCACTTATCTCTAATCAGGGACATGAGTGGTTCAGCCAGCATCTCTTTGCACTTGTGCATTCTGCAGTAGATTGCCTCTGAAAGGCACAGCAGGGTAAGCAGTGCAGAGAAGGCCTCAGGAGTTCCTGGCTGATCCTCCCATCAGGCCTTGTCTCTGCAATCAGGGTACAAATTCTGCTCTGTTCTGCACACAGGCAGCTCCCAGCGGCGCCGCTCCTCCATGGCCAGGGTCCATTCCATGACTATCGAGGCTCCCATCACCAAGGTAATGTCACAGCTGGGCTGGGCTGCAGCACTGGGGCGAGGCTCCAGGAGAGCACCAGCCTCTGGTGTATCTCCTTCCCCTGTTCCACCTACCCACTGCTGTAGCTTCAAAAATACAGATACTCTGAACAAAGATCTCCCAGACCTGCTTGTTGACCCATGGGGTCAGCCATCACGTTATCCTTTTTAAGGAGGAGGGTTTGGAGTTCCTCTTTCTTACTTCTGCATTGTCAACTGCTTTCTGAAATCACTCAAGGATTTGTCAAAAATCAGCTCTTTAACAAATTGCGAGAGGCAAGTGGGAAAAAGTTAAATTAAATCCATTCACAGATATTTTGAGGCTGTGCCTTGGAGGGGAAAGTCATTAATAAGATTGCTGTCTCTAAGGCCACAATCTTATTCCCAGAGTCAGCAGCAAACATCAGCATTTCAGTAACATCCCTTTCATTTTGACTTTCCCCCATGCAGATTAAAGTTTTAGATCTTGTTATTTTCCTGAGTTTTTCTATGGTAACTAATGAGTGTCTCTGTTTTTTTAAAATCACTTCTAAGTTGACAATATGTCTGATGCTGCCTTAGGTAATAAATATCATCAATGCTGCACAAGAGAGCAGTCCCATGCCAGTTGCAGAAGCTTTAGACCGGGCTTTGGAGATTTTAAGAACCACTGAATTGTACTCTCCACAACTGGGGACAAAAGATGAGGATCCACATACAAGTGACCTTGTTGGAGGGTTAATGACAGTAAGTACTTACTGCCACGAAGAGCTCTTGATTAATGTTCACTGCCTGATTTTCCCAGTTACTTTATCCTCTGTCATGTGCTCTGCCTCTACAATGCCAAACTTTCAGGAAAAACTGCACAGGCCTTTTGAGGACTTTTTCTCCCTACCTGAATAATATAGCTCTATATTATATCTTCTATAATATATATAGAAAAATAGGAAGAAAATTGACTAGCCCCTTTAAAACATTAGTTTAACTAAAAATGGAAAGTAAACATTTTTTAAAAAAATGTGATTTGTTTGAGTAAGGTATAGATGGGAGAGGAAGAAAGAAAGAGAACCTGATACTTGTATTTATTAATGAGGATTATAATTACATGGTTGGGGGTGGGCTTTTTAGTCTATCAAATGAGTGTGTTTTCAAAAGAATGCAAAATACATACTTTTCTTGCTGTTTCTTGGATTATATTTGTACACCTGTAGCATAATACCCAAAGGTGAACAAAGGGCACATAGTGAAACAAGAACTGAACCCAAACCTTCAGAGCCTGGAGTCTGACCCTCCTGATGGTAACAAGATGAGTTTAGATGAATGTTACCTGTGCCCTAAGGATATGTCTTCTCATTAGTCTGTAGCTTGCATATGAAAAGCTACATCAGGAAAAAAATTACAGTGTGTTGGATGCAAAAAGGCTCACAAAATGTGAGCTTTTCAGGGATCTGGGCTATTATAATTTCATGTTGGAACTATCATGATGCCTTTGCAGTACCTATCAGACTCTTCAAATAGTTTAGGTGTATTTTTACCTTTAAAAATACCACAGCAAATATCTGGTCAGGAGAAACATGTGGGAGACTTCAAGAATTCCAGGAGAAGGCCTGAATGATTCATATTGGGTTGTGTTTACTAACTGAGTAGACAAAATTTATTGTTATATTAACTATAAAAATATAAGATGAATATTGATACATATAATCATTAGTCTTGAAGTGAATCTTTTCTCCTGCTTATGAGTACATATTCATATTCATACATATTTTATCTCTTATGAATACATAAGAGTCTATAAACTCTATTGTTTTCTCCTTTTTGTGGATTGTTGATTCTTACATGCATTTGTATTCTCATTGTATTTGGTCCACGCACATGAATATAACAATATTGCAAAATATAAAAATCTTTATTAAAAATAAACCCAGGGCTTTTTTGTGGAGCAATAAGTAAAGCTGAGAAAATTAATTTCAGAGCATATGGCATGGTACAAGTTTTAAAGTTATTGGAGAGAAACATTTTTCCATCAAAGGGTCTGCTGAAAACAGAATTATATTGTTCTAAGTGTGTTCAGAAGTTATGTCTGAGAAGGAAACAAGTAATATGTTACTGGATTTGAACTCTTTAGTAGGAAGGGCATTTGGAGTTCAAAGATAGATTTACCAGATACAATTACACCTGCTATTTCAACTCTTAAAACTAATCTTTGATTCTAAATGATAGGCAGCATCTGGTGACCTAAATATTTGTGTCATAGCAGTTCCATTGAATAGCCACTGTTGTACTCCCTTTCCTTTTAAATCACAAACTCCAGATTAATTTACTTACAAATGTGAAAATGAAAATTAGATATAGCAGTTCTTTTAAGAGCAGATATTCCATGTTCAGATATGGCATCCACATTTACTTCTGCTATACTTGGTGTGAATAACATTTTTAGTAAGGTGCATTCATAAATATTTTTTTTAAACACTGTGGTTTTTTACATCATGGGCTAAACATGAGCTAACAGCTGTAACCTCAAAAGAGCAAGAGGGATTTGGGCCACAGCATTTAAAATTATAAAATGAAAAGTAAATACTAAATACATAATTCTGTTAGTTTTAATCCATCATCTCAGTGTTCACATCTAGGCATCATGCCAGAATTAAGCCTAGGAGGCACTGAACTGAAGAATAAACAAGCATACTTTCTGTGTGATAGAAAGGAAGCCTCAGAGTAATTTGTTCCTCTGCAGTCATGAGATTCTTATGCTGCTGAGGTGACTGGATCTGCCAGTACCAGGGCAGGAGAGCAGGGGAATGTCTCCATCCACTCCCTCCCACCGCCCACCTTTGCTTGTTGGTGGGAAGTGTGTGGACACACCGTGTCTGCTTTGGGGCACAGACCTACAACTGGTGTGCATGTTGGCCAAAGACAGATGTCAGGCTGCAATTCTAGACCTCCATCTGCACCTGAGAAACTTGAGTTTTTGCCTGAGTCGATGTTGTATCCCCTAGCCTGCAGTTCCTCATCTGTTACGAGCCATATGTAAACCAGGCTAATCTGGAAAGCACAAACAAATAAGGGAGAGCTTTGATGGCAGTGACAGGCTGCAGTCAGGCTTTTCTGAAGCTGTTGTGCTACTACTTGGTGTTATCATCTCCTAGACCTATTGTGCAATATCCTCCATTTAACTTGCAACTTTTATTTAACAGGATGGTTTACGAAGATTATCAGGGAACGAGTACATATTGTCAGCAAAACGTAAGTTTTAATTTGGCTACCGAGATACTAAAACATGTTCAGAAATTTAAGAAACAGGGAAATGTCATTAGATGTCCTTTTTATGAGCATTTTCTTGGGTTTTTTTTTTTTTTTTTTTTTATCTATAAGCATTTTTCTTCAGCATTACTGAGCTGGGTGTTACTACAGAAGGGAAAGCATGGTCATTCAGTAAAATTGTTTCTCACTATTAAATATACTACTTAATATACTGTTAATAAATACCTATAGTAATAACTGTATTCCTCAAAAGAAACTCATCAGGTTGCTGGCAGTCTGAGCTCTCCAATCTCCCTCAATGACATACCCCCACGGATAACACAGGCCATGGAAAATGAGGAACAGTGGGATTTTGATATCTTTGAACTTGAGGCTGCCACCCATAAAAGGTCAGTAAATGCAAGAGCTCATAAACTGAAGTTGCTGAAAAGTGACTTAAATGTCATGCTGTAATCAGATCCTTAAGCTCTCTACCTGTGATTTTAAAACTGAATGAATTTTATTTTCAATGTCAGATGTTTGAAATTTTCTCATTGTCATTTCTAGTTGTATATGCATCTTAAATATCTTCTGTTTCATCATGCACTATTTCCTGCAAATTCCCAGTGGATATATGTGAAGATTATATATCTTTGGTATGGTATAATGACAATACAGTATAAGTTTTAAAACCTTCCTTTATTCACTAATAGAAAAGTTATACAAATCAAATTATTTTCTTGTGGGGATTCAAATTCTTATTATGACAAACTGCACACAGAGTCAACATGCTGGTCTTGATTTGACCAGTTGATACAGATCAAGTTTTATTTTCTTTCCATTTGATTGGGTAGGTTTTATTCCTGAACAGTTCCAATACAGCTTTTCAGCAGAATTCCCATTACATTTCTCTGGGATTAGAGGAAGGTGTTTATTCTAAAATCTTGGCAGGTTACATTTTATGTATAAGCTTAACTGAAGAACATTTACTGATAAAAAGCAGGGCATGCAAATTTCCATCACAGAATTTTTTTCCAAAAGCAGATCAGCAGCTTTGATGGACTGTACTGCATTAGTGGAAAAGTCTCACCCTAAGACTGTAAATTGTTCTTTCTGTTAAAATCCTTGGTTTTACTTTCTGATGCTTATCAAAAGTTCCCCTTTTGGATCTAGTTTCATATATATCATGCTTTGTCTTAGGTAAAAGCTTTTGTGAGACACTAATTTGGAGGCCAGATCCTGCAGTGAATTGACTATCTTCAACCCTTTGTCAAAATCCCAGATCAGTAAAAGCTTTGAAAATTATTCATATCAAAGTCTAAGAAAGATATCAGGCACTTAGTTAAAAAATTTGCACTTCATTTTTATACTGTGGTTTTATGAGCCAAAAAGGTGCAAAACTCCCCAGGGTTTTATTCTTCTTTAAAATTATTTTATTTTAAATGAAGATATTTACATCCATTTGCTTTGGGTTTTCTTTTGCTGTATTTTGATTTATAATGAAGTAATACAGATAAGTAATTAAAAACAAAAATGTGAAGATACAGTCAGTCTGTGTGATTTACAACATTTAATGGGTACATTGCAGTAACTTAATTAATTATCCCAGCCAACATGCATAAGATCATCAGGTAGGTTTCTCTGTTCTTACTGATCTGGAGAGACCACAGAGGGACAAAGGAGGTACCTTGTTGCCTGTACTCTTATTAAAGATAGTATAATTATGATTGCTTCTTACTGTGTTTAAATAATGGCAGTTAATTTGTTAAGAGAAGTAAAGTGATTTTCAGTGACTCACAAATATGAATATATTACAAGTATTGCCTTAAGTCCAAGCAGACATACGGTAATAAAGCCAGGATAATTAATTAAATTTTAGTGCATTACAGTTCCCTGACATAGAAACCTGGTGACACCTTTGTCTGACACTGGGGGGCATTAAGGGGGATTTGACTTTCTGTATGTTACAATTCTAGTATATGACACAGTAATTCTGTAATAAGTCCTAATACATCATTTCATATGTCATTAGCTAAAAATGCTGTGTGGATTCATACAGTTTATTCTATATAATATTCTTTCAGCTGCATTCATTTTAAAACTTTCTGTTTATTTTTCTCCACAGGCCTTTGGTTTATCTGGGTCTCAAAATATTTGCTCGCTTTGGAATCTGTGAATTCCTAAACTGTTCAGAATCCACCCTGAGGTCATGGTTACAAGTTATTGAGGCTAACTACCATTCCTCCAACTCCTACCATAATTCTACCCATTCAGCAGATGTATTACATGCTACTGCTTACTTCTTGTCTAAAGAAAGAGTAAAGGTGAGTCCACATTTATGAGAAACACTGTTGGTGCAATCAAAGAAAGATCTCTCAGAAACAGATTCAAAAGCCAAATGTTTGGCTTTTGAAAAAAAAAAAAAACCAGTGCCAACCAGTTTGGTAACTCTGAGGTCAAAGAACTGGGCTGCTTTACATGAATTCTAGGTTCTCTCTTATATGTAGAAGGATGGATGCTAATATTACAGAATTGAACAATTCTTGATGGGAGAATAAGAAAACCTTATTTTCAAGTAAAACTTCTTCATATAGTTTAACCTTCTCAGATCGAAATGACATAATTACTTTTGTGATGGTACATGCCAAATACAGATTTAATGTGATAAATTACCATCCCTCATGCCTTATGATGGTCATTTTGCAAAAGACTCCCAAGACAATATAGGCCATAATGTAGGCTATATCACCCACTGGAGAAGATGCCCTGAGGCTTATAGAGACTGCATTGGAGGAGAGTATTGAAAAAAATTACTGGTCAGTATCATAAAACCCCCTGGGGTATTAGAGCCACTGCCAATCAGAATATATGAGAGCAACTTTTGCTCTCACATGCCCTGACTGGAGAAGGGGAATAAAGCAGCACATGGTGTGTGTGTGCAGTAGAGTGGTGGGACATACTTCTGAGTCATGGTCTTGGGTAGGAATTCTGAACTGGCCTGCCTAAGGATAGCACCAGTGATGGGCACCTGGCTGAGAAATTTGTGACTGTAAACAAGCTTCTGACAGCTCATTAAACTGTAGTAATTCATTTAACTTGGAGCTGCAGCTCATTAGTGTGCTGTCCAGAGGTTGATTTACAAATACTATATGCCAGGTGGGGATAGAATGTCACTGGATTTTTTCAGCCCCTGATTTGCCAGAGGTTAGGTGGTTGTCCCAAGAATATCCATGAAAAAACAGAAGATCTGGATCCATTTCAGTGCCACAGAAGCATGACTGTCTTCTCCTTTTCCAGAATGTTATTTCCATTCCTCTGTAGGCATAGGAAGAGAAAAAAATGTTGCAGCAGCAGAAGGAGCAGAATCAAAGTTCAGAATTATATCTTTATCTTTTCAAAGTTGTAGCCCAGATGCTTTTGTGTTGCCTAGAGTTCAACTTAATCTAAAGACAGAAAGCCCAATTCTGCCACTGAAATTCATGCTGAGAATATTTTTTTTTTTGTAATTTGAACTCAGTTCAACTTGACTAGGAAAATGTTCTGGCTCCTAAATTAAAGCCATATTGTCAGAATCGTTTCCACTTCTGTGCCATGGGAGTTAAGATAACAAAGTTAAAATCCTTGATTTGATGTTGGGTGTAAAAGTGCTGTAAATCCCTGTGAAGTAAGTGTCAGGTAGAGTGCTGTGGTCCTCCAGGCCAGGTACTCTAATGTTTCTGGCCATTTCCCATCTGCACAGATCTTTCTCAGCCAGACTGAACGCTGTGCATTGTGTCCCTCTGAGGAGAGCCTGTTCTCAAATCCCTCTCTCCTAACTTCATACTACAAAAACAGAATCCCATGAGCAGTGCTGAAAGAAAGAAGGAAGAAGCTAACACACAGCAGACAGTATTTCAGATAATGCTAACTATGAACTGGATAGATATGAACTTTTCTAGAGCAGAAATAATTATTTGCCTTCTCTTGTTCTCCACGAGACTCTCTTGACAGTCCTCAAAGAATAATTTCCCTGTTCCTGCAAAGTCAAGTCACTGCATAATTTCAGGAAGTGTAAAGAAGGGTAGGGTTTCTCTTTTCACCTACCAAGTGTAGCTATTCTGAATTGTAGTAGAGGGCCCATAGAGAATTTGAATCTCAAATTAAAGCAAATTGGAATAAAAATTATCTGTCCTGCTCCCAGATTTAAATGGGAATATTTCTGCTCTTGTGTCTCTTTCATTTTATTAAAATTTTTTATTTAATTTTTTGTATCTGTGATCCTTCACAAATGCCAGTATAAACACAGCACAAAGGCTAGCTTTCAAATGTATGCAAAATATTTCTGAGAGGCTTAGTTCTTCTCCTTTATACTATTAATAAATTAACGCTTAAGTGGAAAATCTTAAGAGTCAAATAGTTTTGTATTTCATGACAGGGTAGATAAAAATAGACATAATGGAATGCCCATAAAGCATGGAATGCTGCTTGTTACCAGAATCAGAATGTGATACAGAAAGTACAGAACATGTGTCAGGCAATTTATCCATGGATGCAAAACATCAAATATTCTCCATAGAATATGCATTAGCTGTAGCCTCAGGACAGGACACTGTTATTAAAGAACTGGATGTATGGATAACATGCCTTTCAAATTTTAAATCTAGTTAGCATGTAAGTGGAACATGATTAGGACACATTAAATTGACAAAGGAAATTAAGGGGTCTGGTGATAATAGAATAATTTTTAGCAGTATTGGTCTTTTTTCCAAGCCAAGTACATTAACTCCAAGTGCAGGTGGTTTAAGGTTGCTGGAAAACACAGACTAATTTATTACTTTACATTTGTTTAATTTGATGTGCTGTGACAAAGGTGTGGTTAAGGCAAAATTTGAGAGGTACAAAATGGCCAAAAAAGTCACGCAATGTTCAGTGAAGCCTGTAATGAATTTTCCATTGCTCTGTGTAGAACATCTGACCCTTACTGATCTCCAGAGTTTTGGCTTTTATTCCTCAGAAACTTGGCTTAATCTTATGGACAGAATAGGGTTTCTAATGAGTCTGCCAGGAAAACTAAGCACCCTTCTATTTTCAGCAAACTCTGGATCCGATTGATGAGGTTGCTGCGCTCATTGCTGCCACAGTCCACGATGTGGATCACCCAGGAAGAACAAATTCTTTCCTGTGCAATGCTGGCAGCGAGCTCGCGATTCTCTACAACGACACGGCCGTGCTGGAGAGCCATCATGCTGCCCTGGCTTTCCAGCTCACCACCAGGGATGGCAAATGCAATATATTTAAAAACATGGAGAGGTAAGCTTAACCCCCAGGCTCCTTGTCTGCCCACTAACATCTCTCACTTCCTTCTGTGTAACATAAAGCAAACAAGCATCCTAGAGGAGGGCAGTGCCTGGTGGATAACTGTTCATGTCCTTTGTGAAATTTGCTTCTACAAGAGTAGAATGCTTCTGTCTCTCCTGCAAAGACTTCTGAGTAATTCCACACTGCCAATTTCTCCTGTCCATAAAAAGGCAGACCTTATCTAAGGAATTTAGTGTAAATCTTAATGTGAGCAAGCCTGGAAGAGTTATTTTGTGTCACTGAATGTAGAGAACAAGCTATGGCTGGGTGGGTAGAGAACAAGGAGAGAAAGAGCCTCAGAGCATCAGTTAAAAATACCTTGTTGCAGTGTGAAGGATAATGAAGGACCTGTTGCTCTTGCAGCCTCAGAGAAACATTTAGGGCAAGGATGTGACCATTGCCTTGGTTCTCTCAAGATACAGCAGGAAAATATTGCTGAAAACTTGACTGGAGAGTGATCCACTGCTGAGTGTCTGTGCTAGAAGCCCTGGGAATATGGGGGTGTGGCATGTCCTGGCAGCCTCCTAAGCAGCTGGTGCCTCTGCTTCTGCCCAGCTCTGGTACTGTTTCTGCTAGAGATCCAGTCATGCCTGGAGCACATATATCTCTACACACCAAAGGTACTCCATCTAACAGAGATGCAGCTGCCCAAGCCTTTAGTACTGTTCTTTATTCCTCTAGCACCTCTCTCAAACAGGAATGGTCTGTTGCATTTTTGTTAGACTTGTTTTAGCAACCAGCCCTTTGTGACCCAGCCAGCATTCTTAATTGTTTCCTTCTTTAAACAGGAATGAGTATCGAACCCTTCGCCAAGTCATTATTGACATGGTCTTAGCAACAGAAATGACAAAGCACTTTGAGCACGTCAACAAGTTTGTCAACAGCATTAATAAACCTTTGGCAGCGCTAGAAGAAAACGGGGTAAGCAACACTGCAAGTCCTCCTTAAAATGCCTAGGCAGGGACTGGGAACCCTTGGCAGTAGGAAATTCTCACGTGGTGTTCTGAGAAAGTTTATCAGAAATGTGGAGAAAGAGAGGCTGGAGATTTATATTTCACCTATGGGTTTGAATCCCCTTCTGCTTAACGTGGTTGTCACTCATTTTGAGGGTGAGTGGGACTTACTTGGATCCTATTAATATCACAGTGCTATGATGCTATAGTTGGAACCAGGGCCCTGGGCTGTATGTTTTCATGTAAAAATGCCATTTTGATTAACCCAGTCACTCCCATTGACAGAGTGGCAAGACTGGGCATTGTTGTTGGCCATTTCTTCAAAGGAAACAAGGTTTGCTTCAAAGCAGAGGCTGAATTACATCCCTTCTGAGGGGACGCGCTGGGGGTGCAGCATAAGGGCAGGTCTGTGGGCTGCCATGTGGTGCATCCTCTGGGATTAAGGGCCCTCAGCCTCCAGTGCTGCCTGGCAGCATTTGTGGGGTTTCTGTCTGCTTTCTTTTTAATCTTTAAAATAGATGATGGTGACATTATGTATCATATAGACATAATCAATAGCCATCTGGAACCCCATGGACACAAAGAAATTGCCCGTTAAGAACTCTTTCTGAAAAACCACACCAGTTTCAATAACAGCTTCAACCAGCAGTTTTGTTGCCAGTAAGAGAAGTGTATAATTTTGTTGGAATGATTTTTGCAAAGAGAATACTTGCAGAAATGGTTATGATAAAGTTTGCATTGGTGGCAACGTCATGTAGGAGCCGTAATAGTTTGCTGTATTTTTTTACCGTGTTTTTTAGAAAGCCACATTTCTGACTGTTGCATGTAATGGGGGAAGGCAGTTTTTTTTTATTATGTGAGAGTGGGAGAGAAACAGGTCTTGCTCCTTCACCCATGAGAAGCAGGCTGGAGCTTAATTGGAGAATTGTACCTTTGTCCACAGGAGTGTAGGCTAGAATTAGCTTTGTTCTTGGCAGCCGGTGATGCTAATGGGAACTCTGTGAATGTGAAGCCAAAGCCCCAGTAGGACACTGGTTGTACTGAATAAATTAGAAGAAGAGATGTTAAATTCCCAGCTGGACAGCCTCTCTGGATGAGCATAGCAGCACTGGTGCAGGAGAACAAGAGAGCTGTTACTGCTGAGTGTAGTGCACTGCACTGGCCCTGTGGAGTGTGTAACTCTGTAGTGCTCCTGGTCCTGCTGAAGGGCTCTGCAATGGCCTGGCTTGGTCTGCAGAGCCCCTCCTCCCTGCCCCAGGGATGCAGAAGTGTTTGACCAGCAGAATCCATCCTAAGAGCTAAACTCCTCTTCTTGCCTATCACAGAGAGCTGAACAGCTGGTGCTGCTAAAGAACAAGGCTTGGACCTGTACAATCAGAGAGTAAAAACACAAACAGGGATATAGAAAAATGAAACAAAAGTTTAGTTCTACCCTTAAACCCCAGAGACTGCAGGGAAATTACCTGCTGCACAAGGCATTTGTAATTTACAGCAAAGTGTGCCCAAGGATGGGAAGAAAGACAAAGAATATGTAATTTCTATTGAAAACAAGAAGCAAAATGTTTCTCTTCTTTCAGCTGGGAGTTTCATTTTGGCAAGCTCCTATTAAAAGGCCTGTAATGTGTGAGTGGGTAAAGCAAATTATTTACTGTGCTGAGCAGAACAACAGTGTCAGCCCCTCTTTCAAGTCTGTTGTCCCTCTGGCTGCAGCAGCAGTGTGTTTTCTGGCCTGCTTTCCAGCCATGGTGGTGACTCAGTGTAGTGTTTGCAGGCTGAGCTGCCAACCGCCTGTTCCAAATAGGACAGCTCCACTTCTTTTTTTTAATTTATTATTTTTATACAAATTTGTTCAAAGAGCCATGCTAAGAAGCTGCTCTGTTTGTTTTCTTTCTGCTTTTGTTTCATAAACTGAAAAAAATCCTTTCCAGCTCCAGCATCCTTTATCCTCCCATTTCCCCTCATGATGTCACCTAAGCTATGACAGGAAGCCAACATCTGCCATGCAGAGACACCTCTGCACTCTGAGCAGGATGCTGGCACTAAGCAGAGTAACACATTTTGTTCCCAAGACATCTGCATCCAGCAAGTAGAGCTGTGCATTTGGTTTGAACAGATCTCAGAGGTGAACATCCTTTCCTGATTCCTGATGGTTTACCTACTAGGATATTCTCTACTATCCATAACTGAACAATCTCTAATTTTCCATACCTAATTTCCATACTTGTGTTTCTGGACCTTCCATCACTTTATGTTGGCTTTCTCATATATAATTTTTCCATGCATTTGGAGGTGTATACATCTCACTTTGGTTCTTCTGTTTTCCCTTCCACATACCTAAAAATAAGGGAAAATAATTGGGTTTGGGCATCTCATCTTGGTGAGAACTGTGGAGCTGGTATTTCTGAGCCATTTCTATACAATCAAATAATTTTTTACTACTGTCAGTTTCTTCCTTTAGGAAGAACTTTTTTCCCCACAAAAATTTTCTTCTGAAAAATGTCATGGTTATTCTGACCTAATAAAAGGTCAGAATGTTTCTGCTGCTTTGTGTCTCCCTCTTTGTACAAGACAGTGCAGGAACTGGTAGCACATTATTATTATCATTATTGTTCGCTACTTCTTTGCTGCTCTGACTGTAGAGCAAGACCCTGTTAGGTGCCAGAGAAATCTTGTATTTTTCTTGCTTCAAAGAGGTTTTATTCTGAGTACACAGAGTTGTAAACTCCTGTACCTATCCATCCTTAAAGAGTCCAGCAACAAGGGAAGGGAATGAGGAACATGCCTGGGAGGCACTGTGGGATCTGACTTTCTGAATAGCAGCAATGCTGTCAGAATGATTGATACACTGATGGGTTTGTGTGCCAAGGGTGAGTCCTGCATCTTGGGTCTGTCCCTCTTTTCAAACCAACTATTCCACTCTTAATGTGCAAGTCCATTAATCCTTGGGTTTCAGCAGAGAGTCACATTTTTCTGCCTACACGGTCCTCATCACTGTGTGTGTAGTGATGAGCTGATCCTCTCCACACTTTTGAGAATGCAGATAAGGAATAGAGGGATTAGATGACTTGCCCAAAGATGCCCAAGAGATCTGTCACAAAGACAGTGACTGAATCCAGAAACTGGAGTTCAGTGCTAGCTCAGAGCTGTGACTAACTTTCATCACCCACCTATAAATTCAGTTAGACATCAAATCTGGTAGCCAGCAGCAGGACTGATCCCTGTAGGATGTGCTGAAAGCATTCCCAAAGCACAACAGCTTTTGAGTTAGTGCATGCAGACCTTGCTAATTGATTGTTGTTAATTCTTAAATGTTACAGAATAATGGTGATGGAGAATCAATCAAGACCGTTCTCAGGTCTCCTGAAAACCGTATCCTTATCAAACGCATGTTGATAAAGTGTGCTGACATTTCCAATCCATGCAGACCCAGAGAACAGTGTATAGAATGGGCTGGACGCATCTCTGAGGAGTACTTTGCACAGGTAAGGCAGTTAAAACAGCCTGCTGAAACTGCAGGTGAGCATCTCTTTAAAAGGGAGGAGAAGGGTGCCAGTGTCACAGAACAGCTCAGGCTGCATTATGTCATGTGAAAAAAAAAATAACTTTTTTTATTTTAAATGGTGGCTATTACTCATGCTGACACACTACTAGGTACTTTCAGAGAGATGAAAGTTGACAACTTCTATTGTGCAGTTTCTGAAAAATTTAAGCTTTCAAGTTGTTCCTGGGCTTTTTGAGCCTTGTCTGCAAATGCACTCCCATAACATGAGACATGGCAAGGATGCCTTCTGTACCCACATGCTGGGAATAGGATCATCAGGTTCTAGTGTTTGGATGTGAGCAGCACTCACTCCAAGATGTGCTGTAAGACCTTAGCACCCTGTGCTGAGGAAAGGTTTTAGGAAAATGTGGGAAAGGAGAGGGCAGTTGTTATTACAGATGATAGACCAAACACTGCAGTTGGAACTTGGCACCCCAAGCAAGGGGCAAGGGAATAAAAAAGGTACTTTGCCATGTCTGAGTGGGACAGATTACAGCTTCCATCAGAGACTGAAAATGGTTGAGCAGCTCTTAGGTCCAAAGGAGTCATAACTTGGTAACATGTGAAATTACTTAGGGTCAGCTTGTGTGCAGATACAGAAGGTAAATACATCCCTTTGTGGGAAACACTGGAAGGAACTATTTATCTTCTGTTTTGCTGGAACTGAACAACTAGGTGCTTAAGATTAAGTTGCTGCTGCTTCAGATTTGTTCAGGTTCCTCCTTTGATTTAGCATATGCATGCTCTAGTCAGTGTCAAACAATCTGCTGCTGAAAGAAGCCCATTAACAGAATGTCTTAGATGAATAATTACTAATGTTTTTTGCAGACTGATGAAGAAAGGAGGCAAGGTTTACCTGTTGTGATGCCAGTTTTTGACAGAAATACTTGCAGCATCCCCAAATCCCAATTATCATTCATTGATTACTTCATTATTGATATGTTTGATGCCTGGGATGGTAAGCAAAACTCTGCTATTTCCCGATGTGAACATTTTGTGAACATTTGAAACTGCTGTGATACAAAATTTCTTTTTTAAGGCTCCTAAATAAAGGGTGAGAAAAGGGATGATTCCTGCAGTTCAAGTAATATTAATAACTTCATTATTGCTTATAAGTATTGGTACAAGCAATTCTCATGGCTTGTCTTTAACATACTAGATTCAGGCAATCTTTAACTTTTTAAACTTGCTTCTCTGTAAATGGAGAACAGAACACATTCTCTTTGATAGCTCTTTGAGCACGGTCATTTTGTCCATGTTAATACTGGTTGTTCTTCAAGGCAAATTTCTACAGTCTGGAAACTGCTTGGGGGAGCAGCTGTTTCCTTCCAAGTGCTGCCTCCGTGGTAAAAGTGGTCAGAAATGTGACTCTCCTGAATGCCACATCATGACATGTGACTGAGGTTTGATGGGGCAGGATAATTACAACCATAATTAGCTATGCCCCTCCTGGAAAACTGTGTCCCTTTGCTGGGAGTTGCAACACCAGTATTATGTAAATTTACAGAACAGTTCTCAGTGGCCCGAGTGCTACACGAGTGCTGAGAGTTGTACAGCCCCAACTATTTTGAGCATTGGTATGACAGATTCAAGCTTTTCTGCTTAACCCAGTTGCCGTTTCAAGTGATACTTAAGCAGTTTAACGGTTAAGTTTTAACCGTTTCAGTTCTGCAAACTCAATACACTCTGCCCTTTCTTCCCTAGCATTTGCAGATCTGCCAAATCTGATGGAGCATCTGAATAATAACATTAAATACTGGAAAGGACTGGATGGAAGGAACCTGCGAGTCCTTCGGCCACCACCAGAATAGCAGTTAGACCATGGTGTGTCATTCACTAGCCAGATGCATATTTATTCAAGCTCACTTCTATCTGTGTGAATTCAGATTTGTTTTGGCCTCTTCAGTATTACAGTAAAGCTAGCCCATGCACTTGGGGAACTTTCACATTCAAGAGAACATGAGGTCAGCAGTTGACTTCCACAAAGTACCATGTGTGGACTCGGATGAAATAAGCCCACCAAGTGGAATTACACTGGATTTCTGCAGTACTTGTACTGAAGAGGGTTTATTATGATCATACTTCTGCGATATCTTCATACCAGCACGTGAAGCTGGAAGACCTTGGAGAGAATCCTCATAAAAAGGACATTCACTAGAAGTTTATCTATTAATAGAGACTCACAGCTTTTATGAGAAAGCTACATGCTTTTTATAAGCACTTAAGACAGTTATGTAGAACAATCAGACATTTAAAATGAATGAAACTGTCTATGAAAGAATTTTTGATCTATGGAAAATAGATGTACTGTATTTTTTCACATCACAGAAGGTGCAATCATTCACTTCTGAGCACTACTGAAAGTGAGTTCTCCTTAAGAAATTTAGTAGCAAATGTAAAAAATAACACAAGAATTTTTGAGGTTGATAGTTAGCATCTATGATTAAAATGTTATGTTTTATTTATTTTGTTAGATGTTCAATATTTTCTATGAATTTATAAATACTTAAAAGCCAAAGCCAACTTTAGATGCATTATAAATTTACATGATTCATACTCATTAATATACATTTAATTGATGTACAGACCTTTTATTTTCATAATGCAAATACAAAATACTATACAATGATACATTTTTATTGCACTGTAAGGATAGATGTGTATGTTTAAATATTGTCTGATTTATGTTAATTAAAGTAAGTTTTATTAAAAAGGTCTCACTTGAGAATAGTAGAATAAACAAGAACTGTATACTGTCTGAGCACCAGAACTGCAGTAGTTCTCCCACAAACCAGTGAGGACCACCTGATCTTCTCTTGGCTGAAAAATAATAATGTGTTGGAACTCTTTCTTTTCTCCCATGACATTTTATGACTGAATTCCCTGTTAAAGTCTGCCTTATTTTATATAGTATTTCTACAAAGCATTCCACAGCATATATGAAGAGGTGATACTAAGCATCTAATGAATTTCAACATTTTATAGCCAATGTATTTTCCTCTGCCATAAAAGGAAAAGAACATAAAGCCACCAACAAAAACCTTTAACTCAAGAAGTTTGTAAAGGCTGTGTACCTTCACAATTTGAATGAAACCTTCATAGCAACTACCAGAAAATAATAAAATGTATATTTTAAGAAGTGTCATGTCCTACACATTTCATTTGAAAAGTATGTGCACTTTGTAGTTTGTAGACTAACAAACACAGGAAATTCTTAACTAAGATACTTTTTGTCTGGGGAAGGGAAAAGTTGAGGGGGTTGAACTGGCATGAGGGTGATGAAAGGTGTTATGTAGCTGGCAAGCCCCTGTGTTTGTGGCCTGCCCTTGGCAAGCCCATCAGACCCTCGTGTGCCCTTGGACAAGTCTCTTCACAGCTACACGCCGTGTCAGGCTGTGTTCCACTGAAGGACTCGAGGAGTGTCCTGTCAGCCTTCCCAGTCGACAGAAAGGCATCCAGAGGCACTGAAAGAGTTGCTGACTGTCATTACTGCAGAGGCAATGGACTTTAGAGACATTTTGAATCATTCCTGAAGAAGCAGATGCTGGGGAGAGGTGGATGATGGAGCAGTTCATGGACTGCAGCAGTGTCAGCCTTAAGGTAAGAAAGGAAGAACTGACCTCTCCAGGTGTTACCTGCTTCTGTGTTTCTCCTTGCTCTCCAAACCAGTGAGACTGATGGGCTACCACCATTTGTTCCTGTTTGTGTCCTGCCTTTGTGCCCTTACCCTGCTTGTGTGGTCTCTTTATCTCCTCAGAATTCAGTTATATGCTGTTGGGGCAGGGAATTCCCTTCAGTTCATTGTTATGTGCATATTGCCTAAGCCAGGGGGCTCAGATCCCGTGAGGGGTGCCTAGACTGTGTCACTGTCTCACTGACAGTAGTAGGACAGAAGTTTTTCTGGTCAGTATTCCAGAGGTTCTACAATCAATGCTGAAGCAGCAGATATATTTTCATTGAAGGCTCAATAAAACAAGTATCCTGCAAGGAGAGGGAGAGTTGGCTGGCAGTTTTCCTGGCAATATTACATTGTATTTCCCTATGCTGCATCTATTGTACCAGCTGTAATTTGCTACCTGGTATTAATGTCTTCTGTTCCTTGCAGGCTCCAGTAGAGGAAAACTGCATCACATCATCAGTATGTCCTCCACTTGTCTGCTGCAATGAGGATGGGAGAGAAAGGGTGAGTACCAGCATGTGGGCGCAGAGACTTGTCTGCAGGTAAAAATCTTGGAATCATTTAAGCTGGAAAATACCTTTAAGATTATGGAGCCCAACCATTCCTCCAGCACTGCCAAATCCACCACTAAACCATGTCCTCAGGTGCCACATCTACATATGTTTTAAATCCCCTCAGGGATGGTGACTCCACCACTGCCCTGGGCAGTCTGTTCCAATGCTTGACAACCATTGAAATGAAAAAAATTTTCCTAATATCCAATCTAAATTTCCCCTGGTGCAACTTGAGGCCATTTCCTCTTGTCCTATCACTTGTTTTTTTGGAGGAGAGACTGATTCCCACCTGGCTACAGTGTCCTTTCAGGTAGAGAGAAGGTCTCCCCTGAACCTCCTGGCTCCCTCAGCTGCTTTTCACAAGACTTGTGCTCCAAGCCCTTCCCCAGCTCCACTGCCCTTCTCTGGACATGCTCCAGCCCCTCAATGTCCTTCTTGTCCTGAGGGGCCCAGACTGGACACAGCACTCGCGCTGTGGCCTCGCCAGTGCTGAGTACAGGGGGTGGCCACTGCCCTGGCCCTGCTGGCCACGCTGTTCCTGACACTGGCCCGGTGCCATTGCTGTTCTTGGCACAGGCTGGCTCACGTTCAGCTGCTGCTGACCCGCACCCCGGGCCCTTTTCTGCGGGCACTTTCCAGCCCCTGTGCCCCAGCCGGTAACGCTGTGTGGGGTTGTTGGGACCCAGGGGCAGCACCCGGCCCTTGGCCTTATTGAACTTTATACCGCTGGCATCATTCCATGGATCCAGCCTGTCCAGATCCCTCTGCAGAGCCCTCCTACCCTGCCACAGAGCAGCACCCCCATCCAACTTGGTGTCGTCTGCAAACTGATTGAGGGTGCATTTGATCCCCTCATACAGATCCTCAATAAAGATATTAAACAGAACTGCCCAGAAAAAATATTTCTTCATAAGCATAGTTCATATTCTGGGTTATATTAATATATGGTAAAAAGCAGTTAATTTCATCTGCTATAAAAATGCCTGATGCATCATCATTGAAAAGATGTGATCAATGTGATTAATTCCCTGAAATTCACACTGCATCCATTTCTGTTACTTGGACTGTAGAACTGTGCTAATTAACCCTCTCTATAAGCCAGATTTATGTCCATATTGGTGTACAATCATTTAACTTAACATAAAACACTGATTTTCAGCCACTGCAGCTTTGCTCACTCTCCTGTCCATCTAAATTTGCCAAGGACAGATTATAATTAAAATCTGGAACCATGATGCCTGATCTGTACTTTGCTTCCACTGAGCTTCTCTCTCCAAGCCACACCTCTGAAGCCTTCTGTGCACTGTGAGCCTGTGCCCATTCCATGGGGGTGATTCCAGGCTGCAGCCCATGCAGCATGAAGGGCCTCACTGTGGAGCAGTAATAGCTCTAACCTGATATCCACTGCTCCAGGATGCAGATTCTTTGGATCCCAAAGATCCAGTGCTTCAGCCATTCCAAATCCCCTTCCTTTATTCTCCAAGATTACACAGCAACATCATATGCCCTGTGCTCTGAACCCTTTCCAGCTTTTTGAATGGTCACTTAGTAATGGAACTTCCTGGGGACAGAAATGGCTTTACTGACCGTCCTTTACCATGGAAGGGAGAACATTGAAATAAACTCAGTGTGATTGAAGTGTTCCAAATTTTAGTTAGGCTGGCATTCTTATGCGATGTCTGCACTTTTCATTTGTTCTTGCTTTAATGCTAATACAAGAGTAAATTCCAATGTAGGCATCATGAGGGAGAGGTCCTTTATGCACCTCCAGGGCTTTACTATAAAGCTTTCTGTTTTAAAACTTAATAAGGTTCAACAATTCAGCATTAAATGACAGAATGAATGGCCCTGTTTTCCATGCTGCATATTTTCTATCAGGTAATCCTGCTTCTAAACCTGGGTATCACTGTAGGTGCTTCCAAGTGAATCTAAACTATTATGACCTGGTAAAAAAAAACTGTTGGCTTCTCAGTAAATTGTCCTAGATTATTATCTTTTTCCCTTGTGTAAAATTCAGAGTAATAATTGTTTATTCTGACAAAAGGAGAAACCAGACAGGTGGTATGCACAGCTACCTTACCACAGGTCTGAAGATGGTTTTCATACTGCAGTCTACCAATGGCTATATATGAATTAAAAATCACCTGAAATTGAATGAATGCCTTGGTTTTTGTTGCAGTGCCTTTTGTGTGGGTGTTCCTGCTTGTCTCAGTAGATAAATAATTGATAAAACATTTAAGAAAATGTGTATTGGACATGAAGGAATAAGCAATGGCAACGCCATTCCTGCATAAAAGAGAAGAAAGGATAATAGATATCTAATAATCACTTGCTGGGTGCTGAGAAACAGCACAGGCAAAAACAGTAGTCAGTTGTGCCCTTCAGTGACACCAGAAGGGTTTGTGTCATTACTCTGCAAGGAGTGCTTTGAAATGAAGTCTCAGAGCTATTCACAAGCTTCAAAACAAATAATCTCTCTGCTGATGTGTGACATCATGCCTCCAAGGTACAGGGTCCCAGGGGTGCTGTTAAATGATCACAGGATGGAGTGCAGTTTGTCCTGACATGATGTTTAGATGCAGAAAACAAGCTTTCAGATTGCTGCCATGTCCCTGTACAGCCTGTGCTGCTGGTTCAGAACAAAGGGGATGTCTAGGTGTTTTTTGCTGAAGCTTTGGCTAGGTGAGAAAAGGGCTGTGGCTTAACTCCACTGAATGCTTTCTCTCAGTGCCTGCTTTGAATGTTACTTGGGCAAAGTGTCTCATGTTTTCCTTTCTTCCCCTTGTTTAACATCTTTAAGATTCTCCTCCCACACTTCCCATGCAAACCTCAGTGGACTCAGCTCTGCAAACCTTGTGAAGCAGCAGCAGTTCAGCAGCCTTAGCAAGCAAGGCAGCTGAGTTAGCAAAGGCCAGGGAACCCAGAGCCACTAAGCAAAGTAGCTTTGAGGCTTCTAAATAGCTTTGAAGTCTTGGACCTTCAAGCCCTACCTGTGGTTTAACAGTAAGTGTTAGGCCAGGAAACAGTCTTCTGGTCTTCACATGTTCCCACTTTTTTCCTTCTCTTCTCTGCTCCCATTTTTCTTCTTAGCTCATTTGCTAGGAGTCTGCTTTAACTTCCACTGGCTGAACATCTGCCTCAAACACACAGCTGTAATGCTGGGACTAAACCCTGCCTTTCAAACTGACTCTTGCTGCTTACTACAGCTTTTACCACAAGAAAATCTTTTTCTTTCTGACTCAAAGTGAGCCTGGAGAAATATCTTATAATGGCTGAAAGCTTTACATTGATATCCACAGGCAGAAGGAGAATACAAACACAGTTAAGTGAAATAGCTTATAAGCACTGCAGTGCTGCCAGGGCAGGGGGAATATGTGTGCAAGGTCTTTGGTACTGTACTCCCACGTGCAAAGTGCAGTTCAGGAGTGTTCCCAGGCACCTCTGCCTTTGAGGTTATGTTAGCAAGCACAAGCAGCTGGGAACACTTGTTGAAATTAGAATCTGCCTTTTCTTGGTTTGCTTGCTCCCCCCATCGAGTGGCAAGAGTAATTGCTAGAGCTGAAACTCAGTTCAGCCCATGGTAATTAACAGAAATCTTCTTATTACACAGGTAGTGAAATAGTGCACCGATGCATACAATTTTCAAGAGGAAGCGAGAAAGGTGATTCCTGTCTTTGAAACAAAAGAAGGAATTTAGCCAGTGTGTAATTATTCAAGTGAGAAATTGGTCCTGTCTGTATTTAATATTCCAGAGTGGTATTTGATGTTAAGTCCTTCCCCAGAGTTCATTACATTAGCTCTTAGCTCAACCTGAGCATGCTGAGTGCCAAGTTCAGCATGCAGCATGTTTTATCACCAAGGAGAATGATGTCAACCCGGTGATCTTGCAGCTCCCCAGCTCAGGGGAGGAGGTATGGCTTTGTCTTCAGCCTAAAGAGGAAATAGAATACATTTGCTTGGTATTTTCAGTATAAAATGTGTGAGGAATATTTCTTTTTACCTCCAGCAAGAGCTGTCCCTTTGCCTAAAAAAAAAAAAATAATAAAAAAAAAAATAAATTACTTTGCTTGTAATATTATTCTACACAAAAAATGAAGCTTGTCCTTTACAGATCCCTCAGCTTTACAAGCAGACACACAGACACACATGGGTGAAACAAGCTGCAGGGGGCTTGTGGGCACCCACGCCATGGCAAACCCTGGCCTAGTCCTGGGGCTGCCTGGCTGCTGCTGAGGGTTCTGGTGAGGATCCTGCTGACTGCCAAAACATGGCAAGAGAAATGTAGAAAGCAGGTGCTTTCATAAGGGTTTGTCTCTGGTGTTTTTCAGAGATACTGCTCAGAGCTCCTGAGATGCCAGAGTTTCATCCTCCCACCTGTGTGCCGAGCTTGGTGAGACGCCCAGGAGAGCCGAATGCCATCGGCGGGCACTGTCCCAGCACCGTCCCCACGCTGGGTGGTGCCGGCTGTGCCAGACTCTGCTTACCGTAAGTGAGGCAGACTGTGAGGGTACAGCGGGAATGTGAGTGCTCAGGAACAGGCAAGACGCCCAGCCACCCCTCTGGGACTGGGCTGGGAGCGACGTGCTTGACATCAGCCATGGCTCCTGGGGTTCATGAGGGAGAAAGGCTCCAACTGCTCGAATACAGACAGTTTTCAGGACATTGTGAGAGCAGAGTGAAGTACTCCTCACCTGACAACCAAGCCCTAAAAGCGAGCAGCCTCTCCCAGTCCCTCAAAATCCACGCTGGCAGACTCAGTGCCAACATGCTGTCCCCTGTTATGACAGATCTCTGACAAGGCAAGGTCAGAAAGCACAAAGTTTTAGCTGCTCCATCGTGCCAGGAACAAAATAAACCCCCAAACACCAACCAACCAAAAACCACACCGAAACCCCAACAATGACAAAAAAAGCAAACAACCCAAAGCCTTGTTTTAAAATAAGCTGTTTTAAATAAATGAGTGTTCTTTGAACCACAGCAGAGTACGTACGTAACAATGTTTGTTAAGTAAATATCAGTGACATGTTTAAGTCTGGCTCAGTAGGTATTAGCAAAGTGATATTTGTGTTGGTTTTGTTGTAACAAGAGTCAATGGTGTTTGTAGAAGGTGGTCTGAAAAAAGGGACTTTGGATTTGGGGTTTTATTTCTTCCATCTGCTGACCAGTAGTTCTACTTTGGGACTTTAAAGTAAAAGTCCTTCCCAATGCGTTGAATTTGGTGAAGTTATACTTACTTCCACTGGCTTAATTCTGTTCATAATCTGCCTCATGAGTGTTACTTTTTACCCATGGATCCACTTTCTAGATAATTTTGTCTTTGAGAAGGAAATCTGTCCTAAGTCTGATTGCAAATATATGGTCACTTTATTACAGTGCATACCTGAAATGCCACAGTGATGTAACTGAGCCAAGTTCAGATCAACTTCCACCTCTTCTTCCATCACTCTGCACTTCTGTACCCTGATCTTTGATTTGATTTTTTTCTTGTGCTGCAAGCAGAGAGAGCCAGAGAGCCCCACACAGGCCTGCTCTCACTTCTTTGCCACTGTGCTGACACCTTTGACCTTTTGGTTTCTCTTTTAAGAGCCAGATATGAAAGCTAAGGTTAGTGCACAGAGGAATGCAAAGCAATGTAACAATGATGATGCTGAATTTTAAATTCTCCATCAGAAATAAAGTATTTTGGTTTTTTTTCTGTTGGACAGGCTGTGAGAAGTCGGACTGATTCATAACTGTCCTTTCCTGTACGTTAATAGAAGTCGGACTGATTCATAACTGTCCTTTCCTGTACGTTAATATAATCTATCTCTTTGGGCATGCTCAGAAATTTTGGGCTTAATAAATCTTCACTGTAAACTACATACTTTCATGTATGGAAGGCAAAATGTTTATTTCATCAAGCATTTTATGACACAGACCATGAAATATACCTGACTCACTGCACAGGCACAATACATTGTTCTGTTACAGCAGCCTGGCTGCAGCTTTCACATCAGCACAGGGGCACAAGGCAGGAGGTGTTGGGGTGGCCCCAGGCATCACCTGATGATTCACTTTCCAATATCAGAGAGGTCAGGAAGGCAAAGGAATTTTGCTTAGAGATTCAGAGAAAATTTGAGTGCTTTCAACCGGCTGTAAAATACGTCCAAGGCAAGGGAGCTACCATGCTGCTTTTGGCTCAGCCCAGCCTGGATGAGGGCACCCGTGCAGGTGACGGGAGCTGTGGAACACCCATCTCAGGGGTGAGAAATCGCAGCTTCGTCTGGCCCCAATCCTGCTGGTGGAGAACCAGGGGCTGCTGAGAGCTGGTGCCTCTCCCTCAGCCTTGCCAGGGCTGTGCTAGCAGCGAGGGTTATTCTCGTGCTCAGTCTGCAGGATCAAGCCCATATTAGGGGAAGGAATGGAGATGGACAAGCACAGCAGGTGTTGCACAGGACTGGCGGCTGCTGGAGGCAACAATTCAGCCGTGTGTGGATGGAGCCATCACTGGGGAAGCCGTTCCACGGCCCAGCCGAGGGCAGGTAGGGATCAAGTGGGTGCCGAGCGGGGTGAGCTCGGCTTGGTCCGTGGTGTCTTGGGAAAAGGCTGCGGGAACAGAGCTCCCACGCCGGGGGCAGCTCCAGCCGTGTCCCCCCGCCTGGGGCGCTGTCCCGGCACAGAGAGGGAAGGAAGCCAGGCAGGCAGGAAGGAAGGAAGGCAGGAAGGAAGCCGGGCAGGCAGCGCCCGCCCTCTGTCAGGGCGCCCCGGACCGAGGCCTGCCCGCCGCGGGAAATGGCGGCGCCGGGAGGCGAGGCGAGGGGAGGGGGGCGCTTATGGCGGTGGGGCCGCGGCCCCGCTCCT